ATCTATTAAGCACTTTTTCTGTGCTAAGCACTGAGAATAGGATGATGAATCTTCTACTGTCATGGAGCTTAGCATCTAAAAATGGAGAGAGATAGGCCAGGTGTGGTGGTTCATGCCTCAGCACTAATGTCGCTCCATCCAAGAAGACTTATCAGCTAAGATGATGTTCATGGCTATAAAGAATAACTCCCCAAACTCTTGGGCTCAAAGCAATTCTCTTGTCTCAGCCTCCCTGGTAGCTGGGACTACAGGCGCCCATCACAACACCTGGCTATGTTTTAGAGATGAGGTCTCACTCTTGCTCGGGCTAATCTTGAACTCCTGAGCATAGGCAATCCACTTGCCTTGGCCTCCCAGAGTGCTAGGATTGCAGGTGTGAACCACTGCGCCTGGCCTCTCTCCTTTTATTTTGATATTTTTTTGAGACAGAGTCTCACTCTGTTACCCTGGGTAGAGTGCCATGACATCATAGCTCACAGCAACCTCATACTCTTAGGCTCAAACGATCCTCCTGCCTCAGCCTCCCCAGTAGCTGGGGTGATAGGTGTACATTACCATGCCTGGCTAGTTTTATTATTTTTAGTAGAAAAGTGGTCTCACTCATGCTCAGGTTGGTTTCAAACTCCTAAGTTCAGGTGATATACCTGCCTTGGCATCCTAGTGTGCTGAGATGGGAAGGAGATCACTAGATAAAGAGGAGAGAGTGTGAGGTGCAGCATGCCAGGTGGCCTTCCCAGCCTGAGAAGGAGCACGGTGTATATGAGGATTTAAAAGAAGACGACTGCCCTGTACAACTCCCACACATCATCACTATGCTGGGCAAGTCACTGCCGCCGCCCAGCCTTGATGCTGCAGCGTGGCTGTCGCCTTCTCTATTTGTCTCTTGCCTGGGCCCTTATTCCTTGAGAGCCTGATGGGTTACATATCGATTGTCATTTATACCTCATGTGTATAAATGTGTGTGTACACTGTACGAGGGACTGAGTGTGCAGTAATCTCAGAGAGGCTGACTAACTTACTCAAGGTCACAGAACTACTAAGGGACTTGAACTCAGATCTTTTTGTCCAAAGTTCGTGCACGGACAAAACATATCATCATGATATGTTCTTAAACTCCTGCCTTCAGCTGATCCTCCCACCTTGGCCACTCAAAGTGCTGGGATTGCAGGTGTGAGCCACTGCGCCCAGCCTATCACGGTGTGTTAATATGTATGGTATACTACCTGCTGCACTCACAGTTGCATCCGTCCCAGCAAACTCACAGGTGCTCATGCCACACACCTGCCCGCACCTGCTCCCCAATCTTCCCCTCCTCCACCAGCCTCCCTCCACCTCCCTCACCTCCTCTCTGGGGTCAGACCAGTGCACCCAAGAAGGCACAGGGATGTGCTCACCACCCTCCTGTGCTCCACTCCACATCCTGGGGCATCCCAGCACAGCCTGCTCTTGTCATGGGATATGTGCAGGGCACTAGGGTCTGTGCAAAGCACTAGTAGCTGGCCTCCCCCTTCCTCGCTGGTTCTCCTGCTCCTTCTTTGCTCAGCAGCCAGAACTATCTTTTCCAAATGCAGACATGAGGGGTTAATAGAAGGACAAGATCTCAGGGTCAGCTTCCCAGAAAATCATACCCTTTAAGGCCCACTCACCACCAGCCCCAGGTACCTCAGCTTCCTTTCTGCCTTTCCTGGGTGCTACCTCCCTTAGACCACAGGACCTTTGCACAGGCTGCCCCTCTATTTAAATTCTCTCCACTTCCCTCTCTACCTAATTAACTTCTGGAGCTCTCTGTTCGATCATTTCTTCTGCAGAGAACCCCTCATTAACCTCTTTCCCTGATCAGACACCCCTGCAAAACACTCTCAAAGCCCCTTGGAAATTTCTGTGAAGCTGCTTATCCCTATTTGTAAGTATCTGTTCAGTATGTATGACTGATCTCTCTCTCCCCACTGGAGTGTGAGCTCCACGAGGGCAGATTTTGCCCTCTGGTGTATCCCCAGCACGCAATGGGCCCCCAACGTAGTTTATTGACTCAAGGAGCAATTAATAGTCCTGGGGATAAGGTTATCCCACTCTACTCAGAGAGGCCTATAGGATCGTTAAAGCCAGTGTTTCTCAACCTTTTTATGTCAGGCACACTTGAACGTCATGCTTAAATTATGTTGCTAAAAAAAAAAGTAAAAAATATATACTTACTGTGCTTCAAACGTCTTTTAAATTATTAATTAATCATCTTTAAAAATGTTTGCGCCCCATCTAGGATCCCCTCATGGGACACCAGTGTGCCAAGGCACACCGGTTGGAAATCACTGCTTCAAGCTATGGGGGAAGCAACACGAGGCTATGACAAGAAGTAATAAAATGAAGCAGATTAAGGGCCCTTGCCACAGCGCCACAGCACAGGGACTTAGCAAGGGGTGGTCATTTGTTCTGCCATTTTTATTGTTGGGGGGATGCTGATGACTATGGTGGTGACGGCAATGATGCCGATGATAATAAGGATAATGGTGATGACAGCAATGATGGTGACTTCTTGCCAAAAGAGATGTTTACACCAAGAAAAAGAAGGCATTGCTGAGAGTCTGGACCCTGTTTCCTCCACTCATCTTCACCCCCAACCACCCTCCATCATGAAAATTAAAATCCATCAAATGGGATCAATAATCCTCTCAAATGCTGAGAGCCCTGGCCCAACTGCTTCCTATATCCCCGTCGGAGTAAGTGCTTTGAGCTCCCAGGTCAGCAGCTGCCTCCTCTGCGGCCAGGGAATGGAGGAGGGGAGAAGGGACCCAGTATTTATAGGCAAAGCCTCCTGCAAAGGACTTTACTCATTTCCTTCCCTTTTCATCAGGTCTTCAACCCTGAAGGTCCGTCTAATTATCTCCATTTTATGGATGACAAAGCTGGGCTCAGAGAGGTGATGGGACCAGCCAAGATCACACAGCCCATAAATGGAGGTGCTAACAATACCCACGCGCTGGGTTTGCTGGTCCTTTCTGCAGTATTTATGCCAAGGGTATAAAGACCATAAAACCATCTATCTTTCCCAAATGACTGAAACTATCCCCCAATTCCAACTCCTCCCAACACTCTGGCTTCAAACCTCAGCTAGGAACACCTCCACCTAGAAGCCTGCCTGGTTTCCCTGCCTGGCTCTGGCCAGGTAGGCCATCACTTTCTGCCACAGGTAGCAACCTGCAGGGGCTTGCAGGATTCAAAATGGGTCACAAAAGGGATCACCCCAGAAACCTGTCCCTTCCTGGGAAACACCCCGTAAGCTGTAGCCACAATGGCTATGGGGCAAACCTCCCAGAGAATCAAAGCTAATTTTCAGTTGTTTAGGAGATGGCTCCTCAGTGACTCACTGTTTGGGTTCTTAGAATCCAGGCCAGGAGCCAGGAGCTGCTGGGAGATGCCCTTGTTAATATCAAAAGGAAACTGTGAGCAAACCTGACCCTGGGCAGGTGGACTACCCTCTCTGGCCCTGTCTCCTCCCCAAGTCTTCTCTAAAGTGGATTGAGGGGAGCCCAGCATGGAAAGAGTCCCAGGAGGAGTTATTAGCAGGAAATGAATGGGAGGAGCAGGTATTTACTGGGCTTTACCCTATGTTAAAAACCTTTCATCCCAAATCCTGGCCACAGGATCCCTCCCATGCGAAAACAACCCTCCTGTCTCTGCTTACTCCAGCATGAAACGTCCCCAGGACTCATCCTCTGCCTGAGTGGGGTCAGGGAGTTTGTGTCTGGATTCCTGTCTGCTGGGGTAGGAGACCCAGCCTTGGCCTGTCTGGTCTCCTCTCCAGAAGAGAGACTGACACCAGCTTCCCCCACCACCCTCCCGACCAGCTCCTGAAGCCTGAAGCCTGGTGGTTAAATTCAGGGCCACAGCACAACTTTTGTCATGGGTCCCAGGCACTTTGACCTTCATGGGTCCTTTCCTCTATATTAAAAATTAAATTTTATGACTATCTTGGTTTTGAAGACTACTATAACCCAGGCTGGATTATACCCATTCTTCTGATTTTATAAGAAATTAAAACATTTTGCGGGTATAGGGGGTGAGCTTCGAAAAGTATTATGGGTCTAAGCCTGGCTTCTCCTGTGCCCAATAGATAAGTCTGCCCTGGATGGGCTGCCTGGGCCCACATCCTGGCTCACATTTTAGGCATGTGGCTCAGTTCCCTCCTCTGTAAGATGAGGTGATTGTAGGACTCACGTCATGAGACTGTGTGAGGGCTCACCGGGATCTTGCATCTGAGGGGCTAAGCGGGGTGCCGGGCTCATGGCAAGCTCTTAATCGGGGCCAGCTGCTGTTGTCGGTTGCATTGGAGTTTTCTATCCTCCTGAGAAGGAAACAGTGAGATGCCTTCTGTCCCCATAATATAAACAGGAAAACTGAGGTTTCAAGTAAGGGAAGGGACCTGCCAGAAGCCACATCACAAATGGCAGAACTCCAAGGCCATGGACCCAGCAGCTCCCAGGCCTGCATCCTGATCAACCAGCCTGGTCAAATCATCCCAGTCATGGACCAGGACGGCGAGAAAGGGGGAGGAGAGTGGCCAGCCAGGGGCATCTTCGGTTCTGCCTGAGTGGGAATACAGAAACCAGACAGACTTGGCCCTTGGCACTTCTAGCTGTGACAATTGAACTTTCCCAGCTTCTCGGGCCCCAATTCCCACATCAGTCAAGTAGGAATGAGGAAAAAATAATAAGAATGAACAGCATCTGCACAGCCCCCAGCTCACAGCTCAGTCAGTGGGATCAAGCCCCAGGATCGCCCCCCACCTCCGGCACCACCCAGAAGCAGAGAGTGCACAGCTGGCCCCTCCCCCGGGGACTGGGCCAAAGTGGAAGAACCATTGCATCACTGGGTGCTCAGGGGTTAATGATGGGGAGTGAACCAGACCTGGGTATTTAACTACATGGGAGGTGGCTGAGATCGGAGGTGACCCTGCGGCTTTCTCCTGCTGGTGCCTTGGCCCCCTCTCACTCCCCTCCCCCAGCATGAAGCCTCCCTCTGTCCTGATCTTCCTTTGCCTCCTGGGTAAGTGACCTGTGTGACCTTCAGCCTTCCCCAGGGTGCCCCTGGGCCTGGCCTTGCAAAGGCCTGGTGGGCACCAAATACTACAGGCTACTGCCACTTCCACCCCAGCCAATGGTGGCTGGAGGAGAGGGCATAAGGGAGAGCAGATGCACCTGGCTGGGATAGGTGGGGGTCTGGCGGATCCCTGGGCACACCTGGGGCCCCTTCTGCACCCTTGTTTCTAGTTTGGACTCCAGCCTACCTTGGTGGGCCAAAATGAGCTCCACTGACAAACCATCAAGGGGGCGATTAGCAAATGTGTGCAGTGTTTCCCAGGAGACTGGAGAGACACAGAGCTCCTGGAGGAAGCTAGTGGGAGCCTCTGGAAGGGGAGAATGGTGACATTCTGGAAGGTAACGGGAGAGAGTAGCAGATGCTGGGGTCTCGGGTGTAATGGTGTCATCAGTGACATTACTTATCACCACTGCTGAGGTGCTGCTACTTTGGTGGGAGGCTAGGTCAACTGGACAATTGGAGAGATGCTAGAATCAGATTTGAGGGGATTCATGGGAGCTGGCTACAGAGAGCAAGGGGGCCCTGAGGGTCTGGTGGTGCTAGCCTTCCCTCCACAGTGGTCCTGGCCGGTGGGAACCTGGTCCAGTTTGGGATAATGATCGAGAAGATGACAGGGAAGTCAGCACTGCAGTACAATGACTACGGCTGCTACTGTGGTATCGGTGGCTCACACTGGCCAGTAGACCAGACAGACTGGTGAGGACATGGCTGGCAAGGGACAATTGCTGGGGGGTGGGAGGGTCTGGGGCACCTATGAAGTGAAGAATGACCTCTCCCTTGAGCTCCTGTGGGCCCAGGCCCCCAGAGCTCTGGGCCAGCTCAGTCTCACAGGCCCCTCCAGGCTGACCATGACCCTCACAGGTGTTGTCAGGCCCATGACTGCTGCTATGGGCATCTGGAGAAGCTGGACTGTGAACCCAAAATGGAAAAGTATCTCTTCTCTGTCAGCAGGCGCAACATCTTCTGTGGTAAGTGCACAGCCCTGTGACCCACACATCCAGGGGCAGCTTGAGATAGGAGCCCCCTCATGATGGTGACCTTGGGCCCCACTAGGGCCAGGCCCTGGGCTAAAGCATGGGGTGTCCAGTCACCATGTCATAGCGGGAAGGCCCAGATGCTCAGCTGGCATGCAGGCGAGAGAAGCCGGGCCCCTCAGTGCAGTCCCCAGCTCCTGCCTTGACCCCTGGTGCTTCCTCCTCACCCAGAGCCACTTCCAGCTCCAGCTTCAGGCCAGAGGAGCTGAGTGGGCTGGTCTGAGCCAGGCCCTGGAGGAGCTGGACTCACACAACCCCCCCAGGGCCTGGGCTGGGGCTTTGATTTGGGACAAGTAAACCCTGTTCCCAAAGGCTGTCAGGCTGGGCCCATTTGCTCAATTGCCTTCTGCCTAAGTCCACTTGGACCAATTAGCTTCCCTCTGGTCCCTGGCCCAGGGAAGCAGCCTAAACCCAGATCAGAGAGCCAGGCCTTCGTCCTGTTACAAAGCTGGGAGCAACTTGGAAGGAGGGCAGGGCTGGGCAGGTGTGTGGTGCGGGGCAGAGGATCTGGGAGGTCAGAGAAGACTCAGCTCAGACTCCAAGGTCTGCCCTGAGAGAAGCAGAGCTCCTGCGCCATCCACTCAGCAGTGGTATCAAGTAGCGTTCGGCTCCCCAGGGCTTCATGCAAGGCTACCTGGCAGGAGAGGTGAGGGAGGACACAGGTGGCTGGGGATACAAGCTCTAGATTCTACTCAGGGCTTCACCTTCTACTTGCCGTGTGACACAACCTCAGGAAAGTCTCTGCTACCTCATCTGTAAGATGGTTGGTCACACCCACGTTCCCAACTCAGTCCAGCTTCTGGCAAGAACCCCGCAAAGGACACTGACTGATACAGCGTCAGGTCCCTTCCCACTCTGAGTTTCGCTGAAATAGTAGGCATGGGCAGGACATTGACGGGAAATGAAGGCACTGGACCGAGGGGCGGGATGCAGTCCCGGGGACCAGAGGGAGCCAGAGCCGCTCTGGGCAGCAGAGGCAACTGCAGCAGAGGGAGGAGGAGGCGCCGATGGGCCCCTCATACTACAGGGCTGACACCAGCTTTGCGAAGAGTGGGTCGGGGCCAAAGTCTGACTGCCAGTCTGGGCATGGGTGGGGGAATGGGCTCCATCTACAGTGATGGGGGCAGCCAGAAGGTCCTGAGCAGACCCCTAGCTTTGGTCCCAACTGTGGGTGCAGGCTGCTCCAGGACAGGCTATCTGCATGGGGCTGCTGTCATCACTTGGCTGGCCTCTGCTTGATGGTGGCAACCCACAGTCAGCAATGCCCCTCACCCAGGGGGAGGTCCTAGAAACACGCCAGGCCGGGGGCAGATGAGAGTCAGTGAACCTAGTGGCCTTCCTGGGGTGGGAGAGGACTCAGGGCAGTCAGGGTGGGCTTGAGAGGTGAAAACTGCAAGGGCAAACTGCTGGCGTCCCCACGTCCCTGGCCCCCCGGCATGCCCTGTTTGTCTCTCACCCATCCCTGTGACACCATGAGCATGGGCCCCACTGTGAGTATGGGCCCCCATACAGACTTGGAACATGGATCCAGGAGCAGCCAGGAGCTACCATGTCTGTCCATGTCTGACAGCACAGTCCTGAGCCTCCGTCCCTGACTCACTTTGTCCCATCCAGCCGGCAGAACTGCCTGCCAGCGGCAGACGTGCATGTGTGACAGGAGGGCTGCCCTCTGCTTTCGCCACAACCTGGGGACCTACAACCGCAAATATGCCCATTATCCCAACAAGCTGTGCACTGGACCTACCCCGCCCTGCTAGGGCTACACTGGGACTGTTCCATGCTGCCCTGGTCTCCCACCTCAGGCTGCTATGGTCCCAGGCCTGGAGAAGTTGGCACCAAAGCCCCTCCCTCTGAAAAACTCCTTTCCTGCAAACCCATCCCTTCCCGAGAGCGTCCAGACGTGGCCTGGGCCACCCCCAGCCTCTGAGAGTACGCCTTCTCCTCGGAAGAGCCTTGCCTGGGACCCTAGGACCCCTTGGCACCCAGAAGACACTACAACAAACTCCTCAGATCTCTGTTCCCTCTTCTGAATAAGTGGATACTGTTTTCCTATAATTCTGATACTTTTTTATTCTTAGATTCTATCATTCTAGGATGTACTTAGCCCTCAGTTTCAGTTTTTGTTTTAGTTCATTAACTTTTTGGGAGCACTTCCCACATACCAGCAACTTGCTAAGCCCTAGGTACAGGGAGGACATACCTGACATGGGGGCTCTGCCAGTAGTCCCAACGGTGAGTCCTTTTCATTTTTCCACAGCAGTACATTTCCATAATTCTCTTTTCCGAACATTCCACGATCTTATCCAAGATAATAATGGCAATCTCTGGAAGGAAGAATTTTAGCCACATGGCTTAATGAGAGAAGCATGAAAAATCCAACCTAAAACATTGTCCCCACCATTGGCAAAGACTGACTGAGAGTGGAAAGCAGTTCCACGTCATCTTGTCCAAACTTTTTCTTTGACAGACGGGCATCTGGGGGGAGCAGTGCCAGAAATGGCCAGGGTGTCCCCTCGCTCCCGGGTCCTTCACTTCTTCATGCTCTGGTGTGGCCATATTCATCAGACACTAATAGTTTTCATCTTGGAGAGATCAGAGCGCCCAGCACAGGCCTACAGTGAGGACACACAGTGGAGTCAGCTTCCTGATACGGGGAGGAGAGGAGGAAAGAGTTCAAATTCCTGGGCTGATTCCCACCTCCTGACTCCAGAGCCATGAAAAAGCTAACACACCAAAGGATTCCGGGCAGGAGGAATTCAGCCCCATCCGGGAAGCCATATAGTCCCACAGGCTTCACTTCTAATACAGGTACGATATCCTCATTCTCTACTAACGCTGATGATGTCTTATGTCACATTACATCTGCTGAGCTATTCAATGAGGGGAAGCCCCTACAAGGGCAATGCACAGAGCAGAGCTCACAGTGGACACCCAGTGAACCTTCACACCCTTCGTCCTCTTCATGGCATGTGTGTGACATTCAGGACTTGGAAGGCAGGAAGGAGCATGAAGAAATCTAAGGTGAAGACACTGTGTGCTAGCAGAAGAAAATTGGGGACAAGGACAGGGGCAGGTGCGTGCACCCTGTTGTTGTCACTGACTCAAATCCTATTGGCCACGTCTTAAAGCAAAAATGGCTTCTGTTGGGGAAGAGTGTGGCCTTCAGGCCAGCAGGTCCCGGGAAAAGTGGTCCTGAGGCGCCCTCTGGTGTCCATTCAGGCTACTAGGAAGAAACCTAAATTCGGTGTAAACCTAGATTTCCCTGTGTTGGGAGGGCAAAGCGTGCTTCTGGGCTGGGGAAATTGGGCCTCTTGCATTTTCAATAACGGATATACTGAGAGATCACCGAACAAGGCCTCACGACCATCTTAGGAGGAGGATGTCACTACAGAAACAGGAAATGCAGAAAGAAGGATCTGTCTGGTCAGGATGGAGAAGGGTCACTTACATCCAGGCATGATGGATTTAAGGTACTGATGGGACAAGTACCTGGTGACCTCAAAGTTGCATAACTCTCTTACAAACTGAAAATTGGAACTTGGGACCAAGACACCAGCGCATCCTGTTGCAACCCCTGCCCCATCCCACCCAAACCAAGCTGTAGAGTCCTTTGGCCACAGATCAGCTCTTACCCTTTGCTTTCCTGGGGCTCAATAAATATTCAGAGAATGAATCAAGGAGTCTGTCCAAATTCTGTTTGTGTGTGCATGTATCTATTGTACAATTGCTTAATTCCCAGCAGCAGACTTGTGGAAAGGACGGAGAAAAGGCAAAGAGAACCCTGACCTTGAAGTCAGAGGTTCCAGATACAGACATTTGCTCTCCCACTGCTCAGTGTGGTCTACGGGCAGCTGGGCAGCAGCAGGGATCTTGTTACACGTACAGAATCCTGGACCTGCCCGCAGACCTGCTGAATCAGAATCTGTAGGTGAACAAGACCCCCAGGTGACTGGTGTGCGCATTAAAATCTAAGAAGTGCTGATAAATGCCACGGCCTCCGTCTCTGCCTTTGTCAGATGAAACAATGACATTTCCCTAGCAGGTTGCTGTGGCAAGGTCTGAATAAGTCAGCATGTATGAATGTGCACAAGTGATGTCTGCCTAGCACAGAATGAACACTTGTGTGTTTTGTGGATAAATGAAGAGTATACATAACAGTTGCTAACACTTACTAAGCTCTCGGCATTTACCAGGCACTATTGCTAATACACAGAGTGCTTTCTGTGTATTAATTCATTGAATGAGTGAATGAGGCAAGGACAAGGCTGGGAATGGGACATTGTTAGCTGGATATATCAGAGCCTGCCTCTCCAGTTTTTATGGAGTCTACACTAGCAAGTGCTACGACAGAGCTAAGGAGAGTTTCGGGGTCCGATGTTCCTAAGCCTCCATCCTTCCTCGCCTCCATCCTGTCCACCGATGGCAGCTTGATTTTCATGTCACCCCTCTGACTCTGAACCATCAATGGCTCCCAGGTGCCCACCAGCGCCTGGCATTCAAGGCTGAGTGTACCATCTGCTTTGTCAGCCTCTATCCAGCCTATCTATTTACCTACACTCCTTGCCAATCCGGGACGTGCCTACTGCTTTCCAACCTTCATGTCTTTGTGACTCATCACCATGCTGAAATCTCAAATGCCACCTTTCCATGAAACTTTTCCAACTGGAGATTTCACCCTTCTCTGAACCGCCAAGCATTGTTTATACCTTCCCTAGCCCTGCATACCCTGGTTATCTGGGTTCTTGCAAGATGGAGGCAGACCACCCTGGGTTCAAATCCTGCCTCTGCTACCAATCTGTGATTTGGGCCAGTTATTTATTCCTTCAGTTACTTCAAATAATGGGAATAGAACTACCAGCCTCAAGGGGTAGTGTTAAGATTTAAATGAGACTATATATCCAAGGAACTCAAGGCAATATAGATACTCCGTCTATGCCAGGTCTCCTGTCTTTCTGTTCCC